AGAAAAAAATTTGTTCATTAAACTAGTTTTGTTGCCCTGAAGTCAAAAAACATCAATCCTTGTTCCTTACCTTGCTTGGTAATCTGGAAAGTCTTCTTGCTGCAAAGAACAACAGCCTGAAGCATCTCATGGGGAGAAACATGTGCCTTGAAATTCCGAGGGTTCCAGAGCTTTCTCATAAGTTCTCCAAAACGCTGTACCAGCAAGAACATGATATCCCCTGGTGGACGCTTGATGTTCTTGTAATTGTCCTCTTCCAGGAAGTAGTTCCGGAGAGGAGGAACATTAGACAGAGCCTGGAAGTCAAACAGTGGATTAATCCAAAGCTCCTTTGCAGGACCTCTGGGAACCAAGCTCTTCCAACTGAGGTTCTTTCAGAACTGTGGGCTGTGTTGGCGTGTAAGAGTCAGAAATAAACACTCTTAGTGAACCCCACCCAGGTCACAGTACAGAAACATCCTTCATATTGGGTTTCACACACAGACCAGTTCTGCAGACACTTTGCTGATGTGGACATGGCAAAGGAGTTTGTAAAAAGGCATGCAAATCCCTATCCACTGAGCAATTTATTTAACAATTTCCTTTGTTGGCTCTATTTAGGATTATGACTAGATTTGGATTCAAAAAGAATTAAAGGCTAGAAACCTAATATTCTTTCTTCATTGTCTATTTGACTGGGACAATCAGTCTATCTGACTGGGACAGATAGTTTCTACAGACCCCAGTTCCCCCATCTATCAACAGCATATTAAAATAATATGAAAATCATCTTAATAAAAGTTGTGTTTTCCTCAAGTGTGGTATGGAGCTATAGCAAAAAAAAAAAAAAACTTCTGTATATAAAAATGAATGTACTGTTAAGATGGAAAATGGACAAAAAGTTTAGAACAAAAATAAATAAATAAATTTTACCTCGATCAGCAAAAAGACAAAAACTAGTCGTGTAAGTTCAGGATAGAATACGTGTTCCTCATTCTGGACTATAAAATTGGGAGGGGAACTACAGAACAGATCATAGATAAATGCCCAATCACCCCAGAAGTCCTTCCTAACCAATTCCCGAATCCTTACCAGCTTTGTGCTTCGAGCACAACTTTCTTTTGCAAGGCTATCCATTAAAAAGGAGGATAAAAGTGTTTATGAAATACAATGAACCCAGGCATCTCTGGGGAAGGCAACTCGGAACCATTGCACTGATTAGGAAAGCCCCTACAAGCTTATTTCAGCTAAAGAAACAATTGCTTCTTAGAAAATAACTGCCTTAAAAAAAGTTATTCTCAAAAGGAAAAAAATATGGACAGTTTATCCTACTTTTTAGTTATCCAGGCTGTAGAGAGAGGCTGCTCTCTGGCTTCACCAACATCACAACAGTAGGTGTCCTTAGAGAGAAGTAATCCAGTTTCCAGATGGAACATTCAATCCTTTTTAGTGGAAGCATCATCACAGAGGGTTTGCTCATTTGCTTGTTTTTATAAACAAACTTCGTATAAAACTAAAACCCATCAATAAGACTAAGATTAACTGCCCTGACCAGATTCAAATGTTATCTGTCCCATCTGTAACAATCTTAATAAAGTCATAAGATGGGCCTCCCCTGGTGGTGCAGGCGGTTGAGCGCCGTGCTGTGGATCTGTCCGTAGCCTCTGCAGCACCTGTTTGATCCCAGCCAGGCGGCAAGGGTCCCACATGGTGCGGCAGACCTCTCCTGTCCCACCCAACTGCTCCCCTCAGCAGTGTATTTAAGTCAATCTGCCTGTTCTGTTCCCCACTCTGTCTCAGGTGAATCCTTTCACCCTCCCGTGGATTTGGCCTGTACCCCAGTTCTTGTATAAAATAAATGAATCTTTAAAAAAAAAAAAACAGTTATAAGATGCTGCACAAGGAACAGTTGGCCACATCTCTGTCAACCTAAGAATTAAGAATTTGACCCTTCCAGGGACTAGGTCGGACACCAAAACTAACAGATATACTTTTACAACTGTTTTCCCCAATTCCTTATTTAAAAATACATTAAAGACCAAATTAGAAGGAGGAATTATCTCTAACATATACAACAAAAAAGGTTAATACTTATTTCTTAAAGCTCAGTAAAATTAACCACCAATAGAAAAATGACAAAAGACCCAACCATACATGAAGAAATATAGTCAACTTTAGAAGTGAATTTTAAAAAGTTAAAACAGAATACCTATCAAACAGGAAAATTTTTTTTCAGTGATAATGCAAGATGAGGAACACTTGTATAACCGGTGAGTTTGTAAGTTGCTATAAACACTCTACAGCCTAGAACCTAGGCTCCAGATGCATTAATATAAGAATAATTTATAATTCGTCGGCAGAATGGATTAATACATAATCATTAAGATGCTGCTTAAGAATATTTATTGAGGGCCTCCCCGGTGGCGCAGTGGTTGAGCGCTGGGTTGCAAAGTTGCCCGCAGCCTCTGCAGCGCAGGGGCGCTGGTTCAATCCCCGGCTGCTCCCCGGCCACTGGGGGAGGGTCCCACATGGCGTGCAGACCTCTCCTGCCGCCCACTGCTCCCCTCAGCAGTGTACTTCGGTCCTTCTGCCTGCTCTGCTCCCTGATCTGGCTCTGGTGAATTCTCTCACCCTCCCGTGCTTCTGACTGTACCCAGTGTTTGTATAAATAAATAAATAAATCTTTAAAAAAAAAAATTTATTGATTTCATTGTATAACTTTAAGTAAAAATATATACACATATATACTATTACTTTGTAGACAAAAAATACAATTATATACTTTAAAAGTCATGCTATACATATGTATATATAGATATCATGCATGTAATGTATATATTTGTGTATTTTATGCATAATAAAAGGTGTCAGAGTCACAGAAAATACAAGGTTGTATGTAGGATACTCAGCCAACACTGGTAAGAGGGGTAAAAAAAAAGAGAAGTTAAATTTGATCTATCAATTTGGGAATAGCAAAATAACTCATTATATTGTCACAAGGCAGAAGGTGTTTGTGTGTATGTGTTTAGAAAAAGGTCTGGAGGTCTATATGATGTTAACTACCTCAGGACAAAGTACTAGGAAAAAAGGGAAGTTTTTACTCTTTACTTTCAACATCTCATCCCCCTAGTATTTATGCTTATTATTTTCTAAAATCAATTTTTTTATGAAGCAGAATAACTGTGTAATTTTCTTGCTTATGCTTATCAACATTTTCCAATTTTTCTATAATGTGCACATATTACTCAAGTAATTTTTTTAAAAAAGAAAACAGTGCAAGTTACAAATAGGATGACTTTGGCTTTCCACCTTTCCTAACTCAGGATTCAAGCACAGGAGCAGAATCTAGACAATGGAATGCCAGCAGATATATCTGCACCACTAAAAAAAATAAAGCATCATCTAGATATGTGTCTCTTATTTGGTAATGTCAGATCATAAGCAGATTCTATGTGACATCCCCTGGAACTCAAGAAGTTATTAGTGCAGTGGCTGGAAAAGGCTTCATCATTTGGCAGCAGCCCCTTGAACAAATACAGGAATGTTCAGCTTGGTGGGGAACGAACATTGAAGTAGAATCCTTGGTCAGATGGGGTATCTGGGAATCACTTCACTGCATTTTACCAAAAGGTAATGATTTCTTAGCTGACCTTCACAGTGTTCCCAGGTTACCACCCCTGCCCCACTGTTCCCATCTTATCCTACCTGAAGGACAGCATTGGCGTAGTCATTGGCCTTTATGTTATTCAGGCCCACAATACCAGGCAGGTAAGTGGTGCCATCATATGCCCTGGACAATTTGGCTTGCTTGTCCAAGTTTGCAATCTGCTGCTTTGTGAAAGTGGGCTTCAACACATACTGCAAAGCAAAGGAAAATTCTAAGTTGCTTTAGGCATACCCAGAATTCATAAGATAAATCTGGAATAGTAATTTCTGCCAAAAACATAAAACACTTTGATCATGAACACTTCACTACGCACCCAAAAGAACTCCCAACAATAAAGAGCAGGGTAACATAGGATAGGTCCTTTCCATATGGCTAATCCAGAAGGAAATCTGTTTAAAACAAAATCACTGAATCCTGAGTCTTTTCTCAAACTTCAGGTTGGGCCAAGTCCATGATAAACCATCAAAGCTGCAAGAGAGACTCCGAAGGCAGCAGGAATCTGAGTCTTGGTACACAGACTGAGAAATGGTACACAGGGCCAGCACCTGGCCCAAGGGCAGGTACAGAAGTGCCTCCTTACCTTTCTGCAAGACTGCAATCACATAAGATTAGAAGGCAGATCATTTCTAGAGCTGAGGGTTATCAAATCACAGGCTAGACAAAGGCTGCCACTAAAAAGCTTTAAAGCCCTGAATTTCAATTTCTCCCTCTTTAATACTGTCCATAACCACTTTAACTTCAAATATTAGTAGGCCTATACAACTTACAAAAGTAGCATAAACAGCGCTTCAAATATTCTGAACACCAAGCCTTCCTTAAAAATAAAAAGATTGGGACCTCCCCGGTGGCGCAGCGGTTGAGCGCTGGAGTGTGAAGCTGCCCGCAGCCTCTGCAGTGCCGGTTTGATCCCTGGCCGCCAGGCGAGGGTCCCACATGGTGCGCAGACCTCCCCTGCCGCCCGCTGCACCCCTCAGCAGTGTACTTCGGTCCTGCTGCCTGTTCTGCTCCCCGCTCTGGCTCTGGTGAATTCTCTCACCCTCCCGCGCCTCTGACTGTACCCAGTGCTTGTATAAATAAATTAATAAATCTTTAAAAAAAATTAAAAATGAAAAAATAAAAAGATTGGGGGCCTCCCTGGTGGTGCAAGGGGTTAAGCACATAACTGTGAAGCTATCCGCAGCCTCTGCAGCACAAGTTCGATCCCTGGCCGGCCAGGGAGCTAACCACGTGGCAAAGCAGACCTCTCCTGTCTTGCCCCCTGCTGCTCCCCTCAGCAGTGTATTTCATAGATCTGCCTGTTCTGCTCCCCATTATGTCTCTGGTGAATATTCTCACCCCTTGCACCACTGGCCAACACCCCAGTTCTTATATGCATAAATAAAAAAATAAATAAATAAATAAGCAGAAATGACAGCTAGCTTACAGACCACAGACCACAATTATGGAACCTGACCTCCTTACTCAGTTTCCCTGGTTCCTCCTCTCCACACCCAACAGACTAAGATTCTTCCCTGACTCATTGGTAGAGATATTAGGGAGACCGAAAGAACTCTGAAGAAAACCAGTGTCAAATCAGTCATCTTGGACACACACCGTGATATCCTCCAGCGAGGAATCAATGATCTCATAGTTGTCAGGAAGGCAGTAAAACTTGAGGGTGTGGAGGTTGAGGAAGACATGGTGGCTGAACTGGACGCTGTGAATGTAGGCATGAGACTTCAAACCCCGGCCTGTAGGGAAGGATAAAAAGCTGTAAGAGAAGACAGATTCCAGAAAGGCACAAATCAGGTTTGATTTTCCTTTCACTATTTTGTACTGGAATGTTAACATTGGCAAAAGCAAAGTACGATGCCATCCATGATACGAATCTCCCACAAGAACTTTCATCAAAAAAGTTAGCAAGAAAGAATAGTGCATCGGTTACTTTATTTTCTAGATGGCATAAGACGTAGGTCAGGAAAACTTATTTCATAAACCTGAATGTGAACCTTAACCATATGGAGTATGTGTATTTAAACACATACACATATACATATATGAGTTAAGTTTTATATATAACAGAAATTAGGAATATCTACATATATAATAGTACATATACACATACAAATCCTGTGACAGTCTAGCATCACTCAATCCTGATTTTCCAACTGCCCACATTTACACCAATCTTGAGCCTACATATCTTTGTTCATGTTGCCACTTCTTTCTGGAATGTCTCTCCCTTAACCCACTAAAATTCTGTTTCACCAGAGAGCCTCCCATAAACTCAATGCAAACACTACAACTAACACTGATCTTTGAGTATTTTACCCCCTATTATTCTTATTTATATTCAATACCAGAGTCTAGCAGTAACCTTTATAATCTTAGTTTGCTGATTATTTTGTGTTAACTTTGTAAGTTCCCTATAAAATCAAGGAACGTAGCTTATATTTTTCTGAAACCTCCACTATACTAAGAATTTGCTGGTTTAAATGAAGTCAAATAATAAATTTCCAGAAAAGAACAGAATTAAAGTCTTCATAGCAAAAGAATTTTCAGAAAAAGACAAAGAAAACATTAAGAGGACAGATAAGTATAGAAACAACAGGCATTCAAAAATTCAAGAGTCAAGAGATCTCCTAAAAAACCTTTCAGACAACTAATTCTTTCTCCCTTTCTTATGTATTCAGGTCCTGGCCAATTAGAGAACTGCCTACTGTTTTTTTAAGAGCATTCCCATTTCCTGGAAACAATGATAGGAATTATTAGACATGCCTCCTGACAGGACTTTATTTTCTTTAAAAAAAAAAAACTCAGGGGCCTCCCCGGTGGCGCAGCGGGTTGAGCACCACACTGTAAACTGTCCACAGCCTCTGCAGCGTGGGTTCGATTCCCAGCCAGCCAGAAGAAACCCACATGGTGTGGCAGACCTCTCCTGCCTCGCCTGCCGCTCCCCTCAGCAGTGCCTTCGGTCCGTCTGCCTGTTCTGCTCCCCGCTCTGTCTCTGATGAATTCTCTCACCCTCCCGCAGCTCTGACCTGTACCCCAGTTCTTATATAAATAAATCAATCTTTAAAAAAAAAAAATCTCAGGAGGTGGCCTGTGGTTAGTGCTGACAACTTAGAAAATTTGTAATGTTTAATATTTACTTACCCTGAAAGTACTTGCCACACACCAAACAGGCATATGCATTTATATGGGAGAGGGAGATGGAACACAGTTTCTCAAAGTCAAAGTCCAGCACACTCCTAAGAGAAGCAAAGCAAAAGAAAAAACAATAAGGACAATTTCTAGAACACCAGAGTAAAGCAGCATTGGCTTCATGTTCTTCATGCCATCCTTCACTGAATGTTTCAACAACCATATAAACCATAGGGAACAGTGACTAATCCTCACCTAGACATTTAATATAGCACTATCCCCTGTGCTCCTCCCTCCCTCTCTCTCCCTCCTCCTCCTCCCCTGCAGTATGTCTCTGGTTTATAATTGTCTGTTTTTGCTTTGTTGTGTTTTGTACTGTTGTTATTATTTTTTTTTACACTGATGTCTTATTTGGTTCCCCTATATTCCTGTTATAAGTGAAATCATCTGATTTCTTTTTTCCTTCTGGCTTATTTCACTGGGCATAATTCCTTCTAGCTCCATCCACGTTGCTGTGAATGGCATGAGTTTATCTTTTTTGATTGCTGAATAATATTCCATTGTGTATATATACATCTTCTTGATCCAGTCATCTATTTTTGGGGTGAGAGGGAGGGAGGAGCACAGGGGACTGTGGTGATGGTCAACGGGTGCCTTGGGGAAGGAAATTCTATGGGGACTCAATCTGAGGGGGTGGAGGGAAGCAAATATTGTCTAAAAAATTTTTAAAAAATGATAAATGTTAAAATTTAAAAAAAGACAGGTATAAAGCTTACTCGCTTACTGGTCAATTCATATAAACAAGGTTTATAAAAAAAAAAATAGCACTATCAATTCTCTAAGCCTCAAAGCATTTCAAGGTGTTTGTGTCAGACATGCAAAGCCAATGACCATGTTTCTTTTTAATATTTACAACCAATGAAGAATATCCCATAACAATCACTTTCTCTGAAGGGAAAGTTACCAGTAGGACTAACATATTAGGGCCCCAACAATATTCCAAATTTGAAAAGAAGACACATAAAAAGAGTGAATAAACCCTCTTATTAAAGAAAATTTTATTTTTGCCCATAGGAATAAATGGGAAGCCTAAAGAAGTTTACAGTAATAACTACAAACAGATGTACCTGTTCGAGTATATCATACTGACATATAAGTACTGGCAGAGGTAAGGATCAAAAAAACTACCCCACTGAATCCACAGGTGGTAAAGGAATTACTTCCCAAACATTAACTCTAATTAATAGGTAACAGTCTCAAAAAGCAGCATTTGTTTTTAGTATATGTAAAAATTACTAGCATAAGTAAATATTACTAGCACAGAAGAATCCAGAAACTTACACAGGCATATATATATATATATATATATATATATATATATACACAAAATATTATTGTGTAGTACAAATGAAATTTCTTTTTACTTCAGTGTATAAACTAAACTCTCTAGACACACTTCTCTTTCACTCCTCACATAAAAAATGTGAGATTTAAAGAATATTAATTCAAATATGGGAGAAATACATATATATAGCTAACAACTTAAAATACTTAAAAATATATTTATATTTGATGTGGTATGGTACCCTATATGTTTAAATTCAGTATCTGTAAGAATAAACAGCCATATCTCAAACCAAATATTCTGGCACTTCTATTTTTGTGCCACTTCCTGACCTAGTTCCCCTCCCCCACACCCCACACCACCATCCCTGCTTATATTCCCTTGACCTTTCTCCCTCCCCTCTCCCTCCTGAACTCAGAAACCTCAGTTCAGTTATCTGCTAAGTGTACAATTATGTTATTTTCTCAGTTCATAGCTCTGTTTCTTTATATGATTCATATGTGCAGTAGCCAAAATTTGTCTTTCTTTTCCAGTTTGCTTTGCTTTGCATAATCCCTTGAGTTCCTTCCATTTTGCTATAAATGGTAACTTTTCATCTTTCCTTACAGCTGAATAGTATTCCACTATGTATATATACCACATCTTTGTCCAGTTCTCTATCCATGGGCACTCAGGTTGCTTCCACTTCCTAGCTATTATAAATAATGCATCAATAAACTTGTGGAGCATATTGTTTTTTGAACTAATGACTTTGTGTTCTTAGGCTAGATACCCAAAAGTGGGATTGCTGGATTATATAATACAACCACTTTTAGTTTAAGTGCAGATTACTTTTCAAAATAGCTGCACCAATTTATATTCCCACCAACATTTATTAGGATTTCTTTCTCTACATCCTCTCCAACAAATCTGGGAAGTTTTGATGTGGCTCTGATTTGCATTTCCCATCAGGAAGTGATGATGAGTACTTTTTTCACATTACTTCTTAGTCTTCTGGATTTCCTCTTTGGAAAATCATCCTCAGATCTGCTGCCATTTTTAAACTGGGTTACTTGGGTTTTTTTTTAATTAAGTTGGATGAGTTCTTTGTAACCCTTGGATATAAACCCTTTATGTGACTATCTTCTCTCATTCAATATAGGATGTCTCTTTAATGTGCTAATATTTTTTCACTCTCTAAAAGAGCTTTTTGAGGTAGTCCCAATTGTTTGTTTTTGCTTTTATTTCCCTCACGGTAGGGGTCAAATCTCCAAAGATATCTCTATCATTCACTGACGTCATAAGACAGATTGCAAATGTTTTCTTCTATGTATTTTATTGTTGTGGGTCTTGTATCCAAATCTTAAATCCATTTTAAATTTATTGTCGTATATAGTATTTTACACACTGGACTGGCTAATGCAGGGATCACTGCCCATACATGGCTAGTGGCACTTAATTTAAAATAATTAACTTAAATAAGGGACCAGGAAAATGAATAACTATAAGAAAGTGAAAATCAAAATCAACAAAAAAACTATGAACCAGAGACATTTTTAGGGGGGTGGGGGCAGGAGGGGAGGGATTGGGGTCAGAATGGGGGGGGCTGCAATTGTATGGGGAATATAAAAATAAAATTTATTATTTAAAAAAAATAAAATTAAATAATTAAAATTAAATAAAATGTAAAATTCAGCCCTTCAAACAATATTTCAAGTGCCCAATAGCCACAAGTGGTTATGCCACAATGAACAGCCCATATAAAGAACTGCAAAGCTACCCTAGAGGACAGGTGAAAATCATCCTAAGATGCTATGTGGGATCAAAGAAAAGAATACTAGCACAAGGTAACTACCTCTGTTCTAAAATAAATTTTTTACTCTTTTTCTCTCGGCTGAATCCCAAGCACCCAGAGTAATACCTAGCACACAGTGAGTGTCCAATAAATATTTAAATTTGCTATCGTTATTTTTTTTTTTTTTTTTTTTTTTTTTTTTAGAGGCATGTTTTATTTATTTATTTGTTTGTTTGTTTTGTTATACATGCACTGGGCACAGTCAGAAGTGCGGGAGTGAGAGAATTCACCAGAGCCAGAGCAGGAGCAGAGCAGGCAGAAGGACCGAAGTACACTGCTGAGGGGAGCAGCGGGCGGCAGGAGAGGTCTGCGCGCCACGTGGGACCCTCCTCCGGTGGCCGGGGAGCAGCCGGGGATCGAACCGGCGCCGCAGAGGCTGCGGGCAGCTTCGCAACCCAGTGCTCAACCGCTGCGCCACCGGGGAGGCCCTGCTATCGTTATTTTTAAGGACACTATGTATCCCATTATTTCATCATACAAGTTCAAAACCAGCTAAAGGCTATGCTTATGCCTCCCTAGAACATGTTCTCTGAACTCTAAAGAGCAAAGTTTAATAAAACAGCAAGCATAATTTTCTTGGCATAAAGTTTTTAAAAGGATAAAAAATGTTCAACACACAGTCCAAAACTTTCTACATAGATTCTATTGTTCTTCCATTGCCTTTGGCATCTCTGTCCTACTGACCTGTTAATGGTATCCAGGTACGGGCAGTGGCGGCTCCTCCGGTCCTCGGAATCCACGCGGCCATTCTTTGCTAAAATGAAAACCATCACAAGCTTTGAAAATGACAAATCTGTGCTCAGGGTCAACTACCAGTATAAACAAACACAGAAGTAGGAAAAACTAATCAGGGTGAGCTCATATACAGGTAGCCTAGGCAACACCCAAAAAAGCCCACTAATGGAACAAGCTGCAAATTGTGAGAATATACTTAAATACACTTAACCAACAAGTTTTGTTTGCAGATTACAGAAATCCAGTGAAGCAATTTTCAAAAAGGCAAACAAGCCAATAGAAAATGAGGACTGACCCACAAACATGAGAAAAGATGCTCAATCCCATCAATCAAGGATATGCAAATTTATTTGCACAATGACATACTTAACACTTTTTTTTCATATATGGAACAATGAGAACGCTCAAGTACTGCTTACGGGTGTGTGAGCTATTATAACCTCTTAGAAAACAGTACTGCAAGATCAAACATGAAAATATGCTGACCCCTTAAACTCACCAATCTCTCGACTGACATATGCTAGATAAAGTTCTAAACACAGTAACGAGTGATGTCCATCACAAATAAAATGGAGAAATGTTTCAGTATATCTGCAGTGGACCCTTCATAGGCATGGACACCTACCTGGATGAACTTCAAAAATATGAGAAGCAAAATACTAAAAGCAAGACTACATACAACAGGGCCTCCCTGGTGTCGCAAGGGGTTAAGCACAGCACTGTGAAGCTATCCACAGCCTCTGCAGCATGAGTTCGATCACCAGCCATGCAGGTAGCAGACCTCTCCCGTCTCACCCACTGCTCCCCTCAGCAGTATATTTCAGTCAGTCTGCCTGTTCTTCTCTCCACTCTGTCTCTGGTGAGTCCTCTCCCCCGCTGCACCTCTGGCTTTCACCCCAGCTCTTGTATGCATAAATAAAATAAATCTTAAAAAACAAAAAAAGGGCCTCCCCAGTGGTGCAGTGGGTTGAGTGCAGTACTGTGAAGCTGTTCGCAGCCTCTGCAACATGTGTTCGATCCTCAGGCGGCCAGGGAGCTACCCACATGGTGCAGCAGACCTCTCCTCTCTCGCCCGCTCAGTCCGTCTGCCTGTTTTGCTCCCCTCTCTGCCTCATCCTCCCACGCCTCTGGCTTGTATAAATAAAATAAATCTTTAAAAAAGAAAAAAAAGAAAAAGACTACATACAACATGGTTTCATTTATGTAAATACAAACACCGTACTACTTAGGAGGACATATATGAGATAAAATTTGAAATGATTAGAATTCAAGAGAGTGATTACATAAGCAAGGAAGTAAGGCAGAACTAGAAAGGGGTCTATGGGAGCTTCTAAGATACTGGTTATGTACCAATTCTTGAACTAACTAGGAGACAATACTCCATGGATCTTTCATGTTTCTCAATATATTGTGACCAAAGTCACTGTCTGTCTCTAGATTACCTTATCAAGGATGTTTATATAGTGAACAGCTTTGGAATACAGAAACAGTGTTTCTTACAAAACAAAGGAGAGACAAGCCCACAGCCCATTATAAAAGATTCAGTTTCTCTAACCTCAAAGTTCCTCTCCTATAAGGCTGTCCACTATGTTTATGGAATTTCCTCAACCAGCTTTGTTGGGACTAACACCAATGCTATATTCTGGTTACTGTGATTGCTGTGATAAACTGCCTCAGACCAAATAGTCCCAAGACTGAAACACTGCTGAGGGGAACAGCAGGCGAGACAGGAGAGGTCTCCCTCTCCAGGCCAAGGATCCAACTCATGTTGCTGTTGCTAGTGATAGCTTGATAGTGCTATCATGACTACTATCAGAAGCATGATAGTCAGAGACAGACTACCATGACCATTATTATTCCTGTCTTCCATCAGCCTCCATGAAACTGTGTTAGGCTAACACCGTAGCTTGCAAATAAGGTAAAATCTCAGACCCTGCACAGTTTAAGAATGTATGTCCACACCTGTCTTTAAACTATACTCATGTATATAAACATTCAGTTCATCTTAGTACTTGTAATCTATACCATGACAAAAACATAAAAGGAAAAAGTTACAGCAACTGGGATCCTAATGAATCCCAAAGAAAAAAATCTCCTTAACACAACTACACAAAATATCTAAGGAACAATTTCTCTTCCAAAGGGAAACTTGAGGCTGACAGAGTATTTAAGTAAAGGAAATCAGCAAATATCCTGAAATTATTATTAGTCAGAGAATAATTATTGAGCATTTTCTATAAGTAAGGTACTATTCTGTGCCCAGTGTCATACAAAAATTTATCAAAGATAAACCTAACAAGAAATTTAAGAGTTAATGTAAGAGTTAATAAAATCAGGGCCTCCCTGGCAGTCGAGGGGTTAAGACTCAGCACTATCACCCCTACAGCCTGAGTTTCATCCCAGGCCAAGGAGCTAACCCACATTGCACAGCAGACCTCTCCTGTCTTGCCCACTGCTCTCCTTGGTATATTTCTGTAAATCCGCCTGTACTGCACCCCACTGTCTCTGGTGAATCCTCCTGTACCTCTGACCTACACCCCAATTCCTATATGCAAAAATAATTTTTTTTAAAATGCTATCTTCTGGGCCCCCCCGTTGGTGCAAGGGGTTAAGTCTCGGCACTACGAAGCTATCACCAGCCACAGCGACATGGGTTCAATCCCTGGCCAGGGAGCCTACACCCCAGTTCTTGTATGCATAAATAAAAAATAAATCTTTAAAAAAATGCTATCTTTCTAAAAAAAAAAAAAAAGTTAATAAATATACAGATAATTGGGACCAAATGCAAAATTACAAAAGTGTGGAGACGATAACCCCTATCTCGACAAACTCTACCCTTAGCAATTTAGCCTAGTGATTTGGTCACCTAATACTTCAATATCTCCAACTAACTCACCAGAAATCAAGTATACAGGGACATGTTCAAGTCAGGAGTTCCAAGTTCAATACAGAAAAATATGTAGTTGGGGTGAACAGGAAAAATTTTTATAAGTAGTGGAAACCTATTTAATGATTGGTAAACTATCAACAAGTTGGTATCAACAAGATCACACACTACAGAAAGGAAATCTCCATAAATCATTAGAGCAGAAAGCATCCAGTGATAAGCAGCAATGGGTGTAGTCATGGGGGAAGCAGGGAGCCCAGCCTCCCTGGTCGTTGTTAGATCTATTGAATATTGAAGTTCGTGAGTTCAGGATAACTTCCACTAATTTACGGTGCGAGACAGACGAAACCTGCTTTCCCAAAGCGCAATGACTCAGTCTCAGACAGACTAGACCGACTGCTAAAACCCAGAATAACGGGTGTACGGTGCAGGAACCCAGCGTTCAGCCTCTCAACTTTGAAAGTTCTGATCCCCAAAATTAGGGAGGAACTCACGACCCAGAGGTTTTGTGATAACTGCTGGGAGTAACCCCTCTAAATAGCACAGTGCCTGGCCCGCTTCAGGCATTCGATAAAAACAAGCTGCTGCTGTTACTATTGTTGCTTAAAACACAAATTATAACTATTGTTACTATTACAACTAGGACTATGCTCATTAAAATGCAGTCGAGTCGGAAAGCGGACTTGGACGGTGGAGTGAGTTTCTTCACGGGGGTGGGACTGCTGGAAAGAAAGAAGACGAGAGTGGAGCCAGCGCCCGGCCCGTCCTGGCCCCGCGCACCTCGCACCTCCCGCTCAGGCTCAGAGTCCTCGTCTGCCTCGCGCTCCCGCTTCACCCGCACCGAGGGGAGGACAAGCGGCGGGGCATCGCGCGCGCTGGCCGGTTCGACCTCCCGCTTCACGCGCACCGGGCTGCTCCGGGAACTCGGCGCCTCTGCCTCCCGTTCCCGATCTCGCTCCCGCTTGACGCGACCCGAGCTGCCCCGCGACTCGGACTCGCGCTTCCCGCGGGCAGAACCACGAGACTCCCGCTTGGACCGGCCAGACATCGCCACTACCGGCCGAGCAGCCCTGCGCAGGCGCCGGCCACGCTCAAGCGCGCGGCCCGCAGCCAATCAGGATCGGGGCTGTAACGGCGGCTAAGGCTCTCTACCGGTCGCCGACGGGGACAAACTACGTGGAGGAAACTTTTGCGAGCTACTGCCGCCTTCTTGGTTTCTTTGCTATAGCCTGTGCACAGAGAACGATTTGCGAGTTTACTGCCTCCTTACCCACAATTTCCGGTTTTAAACAGGCAGGATCCTTTTGCTGACTAGTGAGTTTCTGCATAAAAGAAGCTATCGGGGTACTTTTTACCCTCGAAACCAAATTTGGAGATCGTCTGCCCATTCTCCCTACCTTGGAAACTGAAGCCACTGCACAGAACTAGGCGAAACCCCCATTCATCCCCTTCATGCAGCAACTTGGAGGTTCAATCCCACTTTTAGAGGGTGTTCTTGGTAATACAGGAAAATGCAAACGTTGGGCAAGGGAGAACTTTTCAGGAAGCTGCTAAAGCACAAGACTTGGACCTGTGCTTTCCAAGACCCTTCTACAACCCTGACTCCATTGCGTTGGCTTTATAGTTCTAAAGTATTGTATAATTAACAAACAATAAACTGCTGTTTTAAAATGTGCAATTTACTAAATTCGTATGAATTGATGGATACACCCGGAAAACATCACCACGATCAGATAATAAACGTATCCACCAGCCCCAAAAGTGTCATCCTACCTGCATCATTGATAGACTTTCTATCACTTCAGATTAGTTCGCATTTTCTAGTTTTATATAAAGGGAAATACATAGCATGTCCCTTTTTTCTTTCAATCGAAGTATCTGAGTATTGTCCTAGTCGCCTTCGAGTATATCAAGTTCATTCTTTTTCATTGCTCATTGATATTCCATTGTAAGGTGAACCAGTTTGTCCCTATTCTAATCGCTGATAACTAGATAACTATTTTTGCTTTTTTAACAAGAGGACCCGAAAATGGCACTGATACCAGAATTGTCAGGCCTAGTCTCCCAGCCAGGAACGATCCCAGGCTGCAGGGCAGCGCTGAGTCCCTGCCACTAGACCCCCACGGGTTGTGTCTCACGAAGCCGCAGCAGGAACTTCACAGACGCTCAGGCAAGCAAGCAAGAAGAGGCAGGTTTGTTTAGAGAAAGAAAAAGTTTACTGAGGAGAAAAAGAACAGAAATAAAGTGGGACTCCCAGGCCAGGGAACCAGGCCTGGGAGGGGCAAGGAAGCCAAAGTGGAGTCATGTCTCAGGGAATATATACCTTCTTTCCCTCATTATTCTAAAGCTCCACCAGTCTCTCTGCAATTGGTTAGTTCTCGGCGTCTCATTTAATTTGCTACTGAGTGGGGGATCTTCACATTCCTTATCTAACAGCTTTCTCTTTCCCCATTTGTTACATCTTTATCTTTATGGCCCAGTCCTCTGGATGGACATCCCCGCATTGAAGTTAAACAGCTGCCCTTCTAAGTTGTCCATAAATTAAACCACTCTCCATTTCTCCAATCTCTGCCTCCCTTTACCACCTGAAGGAAACCAGGACCAGCGTTAACAATGTTGTCCTTGGTCCTGAGATGTTTGTTTTTCTAGTGGAATGGGTTACTTTCCCTTGGTTGTCCTTATCTCTGAAGCCTCCCTAAATTCTTCAGAGGTCCCCTCCTGCACCCTCCCTAAAACTGCCTAATTTCTAGCTTGCCCGGTGTTTCAGCACGAGTCCAGGCCTGTCAAAGGCTGGGCCCTCCCACAAAGACAGTTAAGACATCCAGCCGGTGGGCAGCTGGACAGGCAGGGACATTCGCAGAGCTGCGGCTCTGTTGGGTTCGACTGGGGGGGCCCGTCGCCCCCAGCGGAGCGAACAGCCAGGACTCTCCGTTGTGCCCACCGGCCTCGCCACAGCTTATTCTGAGGTAGGCGCTTTCGGTGTCCTCACTTACAAATGAGACAACTGAGGACCGCGACTTCGAGTATTCGCTTTGTGCTTTTCTGGAAGGTTTGATGTATTAGCGGTAAGCGTAAGTCAGGAGCCCCGCCCCAGGACCCAGCGCGTCGCGACGCTCCGCCCGGCCCGCCCTTACGTGCATGACGTCAGGACGCGGGGCCGGAAGTCGAGCTAGCGCCAGCACAGACCTCTCGGGCCGGGAGGGTGGCCGTTGGGACCACTGAGGCGGCGGCGGGTCTCCTTACAGGTTTCCAATGGCAGCGACACGGGATTCCGGGCCGGGGCTCTGCTGTAAGCCCGGCGGGCGGCTGGACATGAGCCACGGCTTCGTGCACCATATCCGACGGAACCAGCTCGCCCGGTACCGCCCCGCCCCGCGCCGCCGCCGCCACCCTGGGTCTAGTCTAGCCCGGAGGTCCCTGACTCCCGCTCGGCTCCCCGCAGGGACGACTACGACAAGAAGGTGAAGCAAGCGGCTAAGGAGAAAGTGAGGAGGCGGCACACACCCGCGCCGACGCGGCCCCGCAAGCCCGACCTGCAGGTGTACCTACCGCGACACCGAGGTGAGGCCTCCCGCCCCGCCAGCCTCCTCAGGCCTGCGCGCTCTTCCGGCCCTCGGCCTTCTGCCTCAGCGTAATCCCTCTGTATGGAGAGAACCTCATTATAAGTCCCAAGACTCAATTCATCTCATCCTTTCGTGGAACCTCCATCTCAGCGTTCCCCAGCTTCCGCTCAGTGATTCTCCCGCACGAAAGGGAGGGCTCATGCCCTCTAGTTAAGCATCGCTGTTACAGGACATACCTGAGGGCCAGCACGAGTTGTTTGTTGGTGTGCTCAACCATACTATATTTTCCATATTCTCACCATCAGACAGAGAGAAAGTCTGGTACAGCAATAGGCACCCAGGACATAGTTGTGGAATGAAGCCCTAACCCATTAGATGACCTTTTTCCTCCAGCTTTTCTGCAACCTGGAGATCACAGTAGTTAATACAGGATGCTAAATAGGTTGGACGTTAAAGTGCTTTTAGTTTTTATGCATATTAATTCGTTTATTTTTCATAAAACCCCATAAGGTAGGAACTCTTACCTTTTCTGTTGCACAGTCAAGAAACAGGTTCAGAGACATTAAGTAAATTGCCCAAGATCATAGACCTAGTAAGTTGCAGAACCTGAATTTGAGCACAGGCAGAGCTCTGTACTTCTCTCCACAACCTTCCAACACTGGAAAAATGTGCATTGTGTACTTACTATGTGCTGGTACTGTGCTAGCCTTGGAACAGGGACACAGGGGTAATTAGCACACTTAACACATAAACACACACAGGATCAATAAGATTGGGGCTTTCTTCACAGTATGTTTTCCTGTGTTATCTCTGGGCAGAAGTTCCAGCAGCCTTCTCTTCCCTCTCACTCTGGTTCATCTTTCCAGATGGCTCTACCCACCCAAGCAACCCAGACTGTGAGGAGTCCGGTGAAAGCAGCTGTAGTGGCGGCTCCGAGCCAGAGCCTTCTGGCCATCAGCTCTTCTGCTTAGAATATGAGACAGACAGCGGAGAGGTCACATCAGTTATCGTGTATCAGGTATGCCTCATAGAAATAGCTGCAGCCTGAAGGTCCTGGGCCATGGTAGAAATTTCTGCCACACCCTGAGCCACCGTTTTCCTCAGGGCCAGTGGGAAGTGTCTGTTCCACATGGGAGCATAGACTACTGGGTAACATTTTTGAGCATAACTCATACCTGTCACAGTGATTCTCAGTGGGCAACAGGAAGGGCATGTGGCCCCCAGTTGAAAATCACTGTTACAGGGGACACCTGGGAAATGACAGGCACTGGCAAGAAGCTGTGAGTCAAATAGATTTCTGTGAGACTATTGTTTAGGGATATGGCAGGTCACCTTTGCAGAAGAGGCTAGTCCCTGAGCTTCCTGACTCTTCCTCCACATAGGATGATGATCCAGGAAGGGTGAGTGAGGAGGTATCTGCACACACACCTCTGGATCCACCCATGCGAGAAGCCCTCAAGTTGCGCATCCGAGAGGAGATTGCAAAACGCCAGCGCAGACACTGACCAGACTGAAGGCATTCTCTCCAGGCTGAATTCACTGCCCAGAGAGCTCAACCTCTAGTTTGGGGGTGCCAGGGCCAATTTGGATTGATCTTGAGACCCTCCCTGCAAGCTGCCACATCCACAGAAAATAGGTGTTGCAGGGACTATGCCTGGCCACCTCCTGTGTACCTAGTCTTGTATGTTGGCCCATTTGACCAGCCTAATAACCTGGAATTTTTTGAGAATTTTGTTTGGCACTTTGGGGTTCTGGAAGCAGAAACTCCAGAGAAAGCCAACATATACAAAGCCTATGCCAACTTGCTGGTTTTTCACTGACGTCTTATGCCATGGGACACCGGGCATTTTTTTTTTTACATTTCTACTTCCTTTCTTGCTTCTCACTTCCATCCATGTTTTCCTAGATCTTTTTCACAGCTGTTTCTGTGTACTTTTCTTTCCCTCATTTTTCTGTTTCAGAATCTATCCATTCTATACTACTCTTACCTCCTAATATGACTGCACCTCCATCTGCTCAGGACTTTGGCGGTGGGAGCTTCTGGCAGTATACCTTTCTCACAAATTCTCCCAGTAATTCTGGTACCAATAAAGTGGGAATTCTTCATTTTTTTTTTTTTAAGAGATCTTCATTTTTGAGGCCTACTTCCAAGCTTGTATCTCCCTCCCCTTCTATAGTTTCTGCAAGTTTCTCTCATGCTTTGCACTAAGGAGACCTAGGAAGATCATGAAACTAAACTGTAAGAATTTCTTGCAGCTAAACCTGCCATTGTTAGGGCTCAGAATTCTAGCTTTTGACTTTATCCCTAGATGTGAACAGACCAGCCTCTGCTCAGGCTAATGGGGAATTATCAAAATAAGATTGAAACTAGTGCTCCAAATGTGATTTATCTCAAATGTACATACAAAAGGAAATTCTGTTAGCAATAATTGCCTATTTGGAGCCCTAGTTGCAAAAAAAAAAAAGTTTGAACAACACCCTAAAGGAAGTGATGAAATTAGCCTCTCTCATTTGCTCCTCCCATGCCCCATGCTTTCTCCTTTCCTGCCTCCCAAGAGTATGTAAAACAGATCCTTCAACTAAAGATCTCAAGCAAGATCTTTGCTTTTACCTAAATGAATGTCCTAATGCAGGATTGGGCTAAGTCCATGTGAAAAGTCCACGTGACTTCCTGAAAT